AAACAAAGAAAATCAAACTGCATTAGCAAATTTTTTTTGCATTTCGGCCAAAAAAATTTGCAAAAGTAATTTACAAAAAACATTAATTACGAACCGTACAGACCAAATGTTCCTCCACCAAGAAGTGATGGATTTCGGCCAAATGAACCCCAACCGAGCAGACGAGGTCCGCTGGGACCGGCGCCATTGGCCAGTAACTCGTTGAGAAGTCTACGATCCGGAAATCTTCGCCAAAACAATTTCAAATCTGGTTCTCCACCTCCTTCGTATTCACTGCCAGCAACTTTATGGAAACCCACTAATTGTCCGAGAGCTGACGAAATGCTGTAAACCATAAATAAAAACAGTAAGGGTTCAAAATCCATTAAGCACACCGCCAGAGCCGTTTACAATTAAAACAGGTTTCGAGGTACCAATCAATGAGACATTCTGCGTTCAGAACCAGTTTCTGCACCAACTGAAGATCATCAATCCCGTAAGCACGTATGCTAATATTATATTCAATTACCAAAAGTCAAAAATGCCTTTCAAGTTTTTTATGCAATTTAGCATATTATGCGGACGCAAAAATGCATATTGGCAAGAGGTTATCTATGTATATCTGTATCTTCGCACTTTTTGTCATCCAATTTCAACTCGAGAACTGGGGAAGCTAGGAAGCTGGAACTTTGAAAGCACATGCCCACCCGGCTTGCAATCTCCGGTTTTAGTATTATCATTCGCGTACACTTGGTGCCCATGTACAGATGTCTTTTCTAACAACGAGTTTTTGTAAGAAAACTTCCACTCGCACAGGCTCAGTTCTTTTGTTTTTATCCATAAGTTCAGATTTTTCTTTGATTTTGTTTTTTTTTTTACTTTTATTTATAGGCTTAAGTATGCTTTAATTTGCTTTCCTTTGCAGTGCTGTGTTGTCTCTTTCTTTTTATAGCTGTCTTCAATTCTTGCCTCAAGCTCCTGACTTGTACCCTCGCTCCCCTTCTCTACTTTGTCCTCAAGTCCTGCCTGTAAAGCAGTATCTGAGCTCCTCTATTCCACTATAAGAGCACTATGGAACCCTTTCCCTACTCAGGGAACAGCACACTTTCTCCTCCTTACCACCCACCGCCCCCTCCCCAGCTCTCCAAATAGGTGGACTGTTCTTTCAACAGTGATTGAAGCGAAGATCCGAATTTTTCACTCAAACTCAGGAAATCGTCTTTAATGCTGAATGTAACTCCATTGACGAAGTACTTTTTATTATCTCTTGCTAGAATTATTACTTTGCAAGGCAACATAAATATAAATGAAGAGTGCTTTTCTAACTTGTAAAATGCAAACACTAAGCATGATTTCTTTCAAGAATTCCCAAAATTGCGTTGTATTTGATACTCGGGATAATAATTTGTGACCGTTGGAAGGCCGAATCGTAGTCTTTAAAACAGTGGACGGTAAAAAGCAAACAAAATAGTGAGCGGCCACAGTCCGAAATTTAAAACCCTTGGCCGGTTATTGAAAACTCAATGACTATATGACTATGTTAGTATTTCATAGTCATTGAGTTTTCGGTAACCGTCCAAGGATTTAAGTTTTCGGACTGTGGCCGCTACACCACCACCAACATACACGCACAGCAGCAGCCACCGCATAACAGTCTGTTCGAATGTGGCCCAACCACGAAATCGTACAAAAACATTTATATCTGTTCTCGACTGGCCGGCTAGCCGATGTATTCACGTGGGACATTGCCCGGAAAAACCCTCATGTTTTAGCCACAAGCATGTGAAGTTGCGCAAAAAGTATGATATGTTATAACGAATCTTTATTATCATAGTGTTATACGAATAATCGATACATGCAGAAGTATCTACCTAGCAGACAGCAAACTGAGGAAATTTTCACCGTCCGGTTCCAAATAATTTTGAAAAAATTGAAAATTTCGTCAAAATAAGTACCAAGTTACATCCATAAAGTAAAAATTTTCCCAAAAACTATGAATCGGAACATTTTTATCTTCCCAAAGACACGATGATACTACCAAAATTTCACACTTTTAACTTTTCCAGCTGGAATAACGTTTTCTTAAAAGAAAGTAATAATTTTCTGAGGGAAAATTTACTTCTCATGCACCTCCTCATAGACCTCAAAACAGCCAAAAACAAGTTAAATAGCAGTTCCTCTTTCCAGATCACTTTTCAGGTCTTCCGTATATTTGTCATAGAAACGATCCAGCTTCTGGTTGAATTTACGATTGCGTTCGTTGATGTAATCGATTGGTGCATCCGGATCGAACATTCGCCGACGATGGTACTGATCACGTTTCTTTGCCCTGCAAAACAAACGGTCTGATTACTGCCCCAAAGTTGTCTTTGAAAAGAAAACGATGAATTACAACCAAAATTGGCGTTTTTTTCCTGGCTTCGAAGAAACTGAGGTTAGTTTTTATGCGAGACGTGAGCTGGTACCACTGGGCATTGAAATGAATCATAGGAAGTTAAGTTCCCCACCGACAAATTTCGTCCAAACGTTTGAGGCTCAGAGTTCAGAAATTAGTGCACTACAAAAACTGCTAAATCTTCTGCCTAAACATTTTTTCTTAAACAGTACGATAAAAACTTCTAAACGATACTTTCTTGATACCATAACAAAGGCGGCAAATCTAATAGGATTCCCAGGACAAACAGTACTGAAAAATGTAAGCCCTGTAAGGTTTCCTGCAGAGGGAAGGCAATATACTAAAATCATAGAAAGATCCCCACTCTCCCTATCAGTATTGCTTGGGTAAAGGAGAGGCAAAGTAAAATCGCAGATTACGGATGTATTAAATGTCATGGGAAACGGGCTTACTGCGCTTTGATATCTTCTGCTAATGTATTCAGAGCAGCATCAGTTGGATAATGGCTTCCAGAAATCAATGTATCGGCTGTTGGATAAAATTCCGTTGCACCACTGAAACTTTTTATCATTCATAAGCTAAGAACTTTTTTAAAAATTGAAATAAAAAACCGAAACCACATATGCTATTATCATTAGATGCCAAGAATAAAAATGGTACTCACGAGAAAGAAAACGACCACTCCATTGAGCTCCAAAAAGGTGACACAAATACATCGAACAGGCAGTGGGTACTAACTGAAGCTGTGTAACTCAGAATCGAAAGGCCTGCGCAAGGCATGCAGAAGCATCCCAGAAACATCACTAACACAGGGCACCCACACTGCTAGCCTAAGCGGTCTTAGTGTTATTTTTTTAAAAATTTAATTAAAACTGACACGTCGTAAATGAATCTACACTTTAACAATAAACGCAAAATTTGGCCACATGGAATAAAGGTCAAACGACAGCTTTAACCAGAATGGCGCATTTGGCCACAAAGCGTAAGATTTCGGTCATGCAACATTAAAATTAGCTGAAAAAGTAACTAAACTAAGCTAGGACTAACTACTTGATAAGCAC